AAAATAAAATGGCACAACTTAATGAGTGAATAGATAACTTAGGAAAACGTTGCCTCGCATGCAGTAGTGAGTATATAGGAGAAACTGGACGGCCTCTGCGCGTACGGGTTAAAGAACACATGGATGGTCTTCGAAAATCGCAAATCCAAACTCCGCTGGGTGCCCATCGTGTTCATTCTCATGATGGTGTGGGATTCCAGGTGACTGTGTCCATCCTGGCGCAGGAGCCGGAGATCGCAGCGCGAAAAACATTGGAGGCATTGGATTTCGGCTAAAGACCCCAAAATGAATAGGAAAGAGGAGTGTGTGGTCATAACCCGTGAACTCGCGCCCTTCTCCGACCTTTGTGGGTTTTGATCTACATGAGGTCGAGGTTTGAGGTCGAGGGATAGAGGGGGATTCTCACTCATCGCATTACTGCAAGCCGGGTGGTCGATCTCGCGTCTCCGCGGCGGAGATCAAAGGTAAGCCGAGTCATCTTAACCGATCGATACCGTTAGGTTGTTTACCAGTTTCTCAAAAGGGTCTTCAGTTTTTGTTAAGGCGTTTGGGAGAGCAAATCACAACTGTTTCGGACTCTTTCAGGCTCTGACGAAGGCGAGGAAGCCGAAACGTTGGCCTAATAAACGTTAACAATCTTGGTCGGCTTAAATACAACAATAATTTGATCACCTTCTCAGCCCCCTTTTCCTCGGGAAATCCCCGCAAACGTGATGGCATTCAATCCTCAGTCTCGTCTTGATCACAGTGGTCCAGCTCAACCTCCAGAACCATGAATCCTCTGTTCGCATGCTCATCCAACCAGCTGCCATCCGTGTCTCTCCGAGGGATAGCAATGGCACCGATGCTCCTAGTTCCATGGCCCCTCAGACCTTGGGCGACATTCCTTGGCCCGAAACCTGAGGTAGTCGATTCGAATGTTTCTTTCAGTCTAAAAATAGTGGCTTAGCGCTTCAGAAACCTTCTTATGTTATCTAGAAGAAACGAAAAATCAAAAGGTCAATGAATTACTAATGAACGCGCCGATACGGCCTTCTATATGTTTCGGTGCTCATGGCCGTTGCCAGTGTTGCCAGGGCACAGCATTCGATGGGGATTTTGGTCGAGTCTGTACGACCCCCCTTTTTGGGGGGTTGGTACGACCCCCCCCCCCTGCCCCCCCTCATCAAAATCCTTTCGCCCAACCGCCAGACTCTAGGTCCAATTGCCAGTCGATCATCAAAAATCAATCAAAAAATCAAATCAAATCAATCAATCAAATCAAATCAAAAATCAAAAACTTTCGCCGAACCGCTGCGTTCCAGAGAAACGCTGGGCCGCTGACTGTGAACAAGTGCCTGATACGAACGATAGGCCAATTGACCGAGGATTGGGGAACATCACAATTATGAAAATCACAACATAGGAAGCGTAAGCAATGAGAGGGGAGACGAAAACAATTCAATAACTAGAAATAGTAGTGGTGATATACGAAAATTATTAAAAACACATCCTAAAGCTACAAAAATAGAAATTTATGATGTTGAGATGAGAAAAAAAAACTGGAAGACACGCCACGCTGCGTGACAAGCAAACCAGCCGAAATCAGCTGGTTGTCGAGTATCGATTAGCGTATCGGGGGAAGGGATTCTGGGCAGGACCAGCCATGTGGAACGCGAGTTTTCAGCAAAGTGGGGTGTCTTTGAAGGACCATAACTTCCTCAAAAGCGGACCTGTGGGGAAGAGGAGACCGTATTCGTGTAGAGGAAGGTTTGCACTTCCTAAAAGTACTGAAACGTTTATGAAGGTCGCAAAAATCACAGAGAAATCTGCCATGGGGATTCGTTGGGGAGTGATTTCAACTGAACAGGTTTGAATCAATATATTTTTTTTGTAACTCAACATTTCACAAATCTGAGAACGGTTTCGAGTGTTTGAAGATTTTCTCTTTCTAAAAACCTCTTGAACTGTTTCTGAAGTTCTCGGGATTCATGAGATCTCGCGATGGGGATTTCTTGGGGAACACTCCCAGCTGCGCGAAAAACCCGTTTCCTGTGTACCGTTTCAAGTGAGCGTGTTCGAATAACCAGGAACGCATGAAAAACGTATCCTGTGGTGGAGCAGGAGCAGAATATGGTTCGTTTAGCGCCGATCACGCTGACTTTGGATGCGCCGCGCACTGAGGTCCGCGCAGAGGTGATGGGATGGTGCAACTTGTGCGTAATGTCTGTCCACGCGAGCAAATGTGTCTATAGGATTCAGGGAGGTCCATGGCGAACCTGTGCACTTGTTTACAGTGTTTTCCCTTGCGGATGATGGAGCGTGTCCGTGTCGACGCCGCCAGATCTGTGCTCCGCCAATTGCTGATTCCGATAAAGGAGACCAACTGCTGGAAAACGTCTGATACGAACGATATGGTAGTCCTGTCGTTTGTCGAAAAAAACAGGTTGGCTCAGCGCCAAGCGCGATCGCGGACACGCCCCATCATCCGCAACGAACCAGAGTATGAGTTGTACTGTTTAGTCATCAACGGACTTACGAGATGTGTGTCGACTTATTAATAATTCCAGTTATTTCGGATTAGTTTGATGGTTGAAAGTTTTGTACTATTTTTTACATATCCGAGTTCTCTACAAAGCAAGTTTCGCTGTACAGGACTCAGCACACTGACACCTTTGCGCTGCTCGTTACTGGCTACCGCACTCATTACGACCCCCCTCTCCTGGCGGCCAAATACGACCCCCCTGTTGGGGATTCCCCAACCAACGATGTGCCCTGTGCGCAACGGATGCCTACGCCAAAAATGACCTGTAACGTCGGTGCCTGTGCAGCACACGTTCTTGCTCTGAGGAAAGGCCGGTGAACTCCCATGACCCCTTATGTGGCGCTAAGGGCACCTTGGCCACTTGGTGTAGGCGGTTTACCAACCAGACCTTTTCTTAACCGATTGTCTCTACACTGTTACTTTACTCAACCGATACACATTACTACAAAATGGTTATTATTTTTTACAGGAAGCACGACAACGGCAAGACCAGTGTCGAGTATGTGGAGGTACGGCACGTGGTTACAATTTCAATGTTATCACGTGTGCGCCATGCAGTTATTTTTTCCGGTCGATAAGGCATATGGTTACAGATACAAGGCTATCACATGCTGGCCGTGCGGCTCTTTTTTCAGTCGTCACGCGCTCTGTCCAGAGGTAGGTTTGTGATCGGATCGATCCACGATGAGAATGGCAAACCAGTTGCGTTTCTTCAGAAGTTCAAATGTCCAAATAATGGACAGTGCGTAATAAACGTCGCCACCAGAAACTCGTGCCGCAAATGTCGATTGCAAAAATGTTTTTTAGTAAGTTTTTGGGCTCTTGAGCTCTCCGCCACGAATCCTCTTGGATAAAGGTGAAGAAAATTATTTGCAGGTTGGTATGACTCCTGACGGCGGCATCAGTCCGAACAGGGACCGGGTGAGATTCGGTTTCTTTTGTTACAGCTGAAATATGTAAATAGGAACAGAGAACCTTCAACCTTAGAACATGGAAGTTTTTTTTTCTGTGAAGCGGCTTGGTTTCTGGTCGGTAGGAAAGCCTGGACGAGGTCTAGAAAAAGTGCTCTGCGCTTTGTTCATAGTTATGGCTGATTTGTCGGTCTTTCGTTTGCACTGGAATGTTCTCTGGTTCCAAAAGGTCATCCCTCTGGGCTAAACTAAACATGTGCTGACCTTAGAATGTCCTTACTCAATCGATACACAATACTACAAAATGGTTACTATTTGTTACAGGGAGCACGAATACTGAACGAGACTTGTCGAGTATGTGGTGATAAGGCATATGGTTACAGATACAAGGCTATCACATGCTGGCCGTGCGGCTCTTTTTTCAGTCGTCACGCGCTCTGTCCAGAGGTAGGTTTGTGATCGGATCGATCCACGATGAGAATGGCAAACCAGTTGCGTTTCTTCAGAAGTTCAAATGTCCAAATAATGGACAGTGCGTAATAAACGTCGCCACCAGAAAATCGTGCCGCAAATGTCGATTGCAAAAATGTTTTTTAGTAAGTTTTTAGGCTCTTGAGCTCTCCACCACGAATCGTCTTGGATAAAGGTGAAGAAAATTATTTGCAGGTTGGTATGAAAAAAGATTGATTTGAATGAAGGCCACCGTCTAGAGAATGTTTATGGTTTGGATAGGGTGATGATGGATGGTGGAAAGGTAGGAACTCTATAATACCAATAGATAATGTTTTTGAAGTCAGAAAAACAGATGGTATACAGAGGCCTTGGAAATTGCGCGTGAAACAAATTGTGAGGGCCCCGTGAATGCATACGGGCGCACCGTAAGACGGTTCACTTGTCCAAGTTTATTATCCTGTGTTACATGCATGATTTCGCTTTACACCTGGACAAGGGCCGCCTAGACGGAGAATGGATTGTGCCGTGTGCATTCCTAGGCTACATGACTTAGATACCCGGTGGGCGTGGCCAAAATAGGGCGAGGGCTTGACGTGGACGGATATAATTAGGCTTCAGCGCTTCTTCCTGAGCTTGGAGACGATAATTTCCTTCTTATTAAACAGCTGTGTGTTTCTACTGCTTGAACTAAGAAGTTCCGAGAGGAAGAATTAACTTAGATTGGAATTTATGCTTTTTGCAAAGGTATACATTAGGCAGAGGCGAAAAAGTGGTTATCAGGTCTTACGTATGATCATGAAATCAACATTAAGCACACCTTGAAGACAATAGGAACGTTTACCTTGTAAACGGTGCTCCCGTCTAATATCTATTGCAGCACAAATTTGGGAAACACCGGTCCATTTCGAAGCCTTGCCCCTGTGGCCACGCCCACCCGGGTATCTAAGTGCACGCAGCCGAATTCCTACGGCGCTCCTACACACTTAGTTTTACGCCCATTTTGGTACTATATTCCGCGAATTATTTGAATTATGATTTATACTATTCTCAGTATTGTGTTCTAGGTGGTCGAATTCGATCGTACATTCAAATTTTCTGATTGAAAATCTGCACCCTTTTTGCACCCTTTCCTAAGCATGCCATAGTACAAGTTAAACAGTTTAGCAGTGAACAGACGCTTGGGCGCTGATTCGGTAGGAATCGCATAAGCCCTTTTATGGGGATATTTCAGCTCACCAGAATTTGATTCACGATTTTCTATGTGTTTTTTTTCAAGCGTTTTTGTTGAGAAGAATCTTTAGATGGCGCGAAGGAAAAGATTTTCTTAGATTCCGTCACTTTGGTAACCAAATCATGGTCCTAGTAATGCACGTGCTAACAAAGTTTTTGTGTTGGACACTGCTCGGTGGTTCACGAAACGAGTTTTGTAACCCTGCACAGCATGGTCTGTAACAGCCTGTAGCACCTCCCATATTTGCCATGGTTGCAGAGTCTGAATATTCGAAGGCACGGTCCGCTGTAAGGAAGGTATAAGGTTTCGAGTCAGTGAAAAAAAGGGAGATGAGCTGCAGAGCAACTTTGCGCCTTTACCGTGTAACTTTTGGCCACGTACCTGGCACAGGTAGCTCACTCGGACCACACAACCCTTCTCACACGCGTTCCCACACAATCATTTGCATTTTCGTAGATCATCGCGAACCGTTCCTGCACAGAACGCGGTCGTTCGCTATCGCAGATAGTACATTAGGAATTTACACATTGGCGACAAGGCGCTAAGTGACGCGATAGTGAAAAAATGCGGGGGAAAAATATGCCAACTCCTCTAGATAGGACCCCATCTCGATCCCATTGTACGTCCCCACCTAGCTCCACCTTCCACACTACACCCTCATCCGCATAGCTGATGCCCCGATAAAATTCTACGACCGTACAACTAACTATTTTCATGTTTTTCCTTCTGCAGCTTCGTTTTTTTACTGAGAGGCGAGCTTTGGAGGCGGAGTCAGTGGAAAAAATGAGGCCTCACTGAATCTGGACTGCGCTATGGCGCCCCGCCCTTACATTTTTTTTGCCGCTAACCGGTACAAGGTCGTTTGACGCGAACACGCAACCCTCCTGAGGCCATATTTTCAACTTCTATACCTGATCGCGGACCGCGCCTTCGAGAGTGCTCTATGCTTGATTTCTTAAAATTTTAATCAGGAACCTTTTGGAGGCCCTGAGAATTTTTAATACACTATCGAGCAAGAAATCTGGAGAGATCAATGTCTGCCATAACCATTTCTTCACCATAGCTCTGAAAACTCATCAAAAGCACTGAAGAGTGTTCTTCGCATTCTTTTGCAAGATTACCTGTCTGAGAACAGCAGGTGCTCCAGTATTCTGATAGGCAGCCTTTCCTTTGTCGTAGTAGCCAGCTGGTCCTCCATTCGGACGCGCATCTTTTCTTGCGCTGGTAAGCAGCTCTATCTTCACTCCGATATGCAACTGTTAATCCAGAGTCGTAGAACACGAAAGCAAGGATCGAATTGAGAGACCATCATCAACACCAGCGCCTTTACAGTGCCCTGAGTGTTTTTATATACGCAATAAGTTTAATTGCAAATAGCATTGTCATGACTCTTCATTTGAAGATGGTATACTCAATGGAGAAATGTTTTAATAATCAAACTTTATTGTTCTGTTGCCAGATGAAAGGCCAAATTATGTTCGATTGCTCCAGGGAAACATCAATACAATACCGCTCCTAATTTGTGGTCAATCGACGGTTTGCGACAGATTTTTCCGTCGCAAACCGTCGTTTTGCCATAACTTCCGTAGAAATGATCCAGTCTACTTGAAAACCACACTAGTGGATAGCTGGGATTACGACGAGTCTAACATTTCATGAACTGTTCATTTTTGTCCATTATGTTGGCCTTACTTTTGACGAAGTTCCACTGTTGAGTCTCCAGTTACCTCAGGTGGTACCTATGGATATGACAGCGTAGTAAACCCTCCAGTCCGATAGCGGAATCCAAGAGACACTAACATATTCGAGGAGACCGTGTTTCCGTGATTATTTTGATACCGGCTTTGAAAAGTTTCAGTAAAGTTTAGCGCTAAATTGAGGTTTTTTCCCTTGAAGCTAGTGCTAAAATTGCATTTTTTGACCAATGGCAACCTGGTACTCGTCAGACCACACTTCTTTAGGTTTCGTTCGTTCGTAAAAATACTGAATTCGTCATCAGAGCATTTTACCCCAAGTCCAAAAGCATGTCGACACACTGAATTTCATGGTTTTCCATTTGAAATTGTATTTCTCATCATCTAGGCGGCCAAGGCGTTGCGGTTGGTTCAGTGCTGAATAGAGAGCTCAGCAGTTCCTTTTTGGATGGGCACATCATCGTGGTAGGTCAATTAAGCAAAAAGGGAAATGGAACACTTACTGTAGTATCATATAATCGGAATATTAATATTACTACTTCGGAGCAAATTCTCTGTTTGCTGCGATGTAACAAATCAGGGGTGAGCGGACAGTCTCTATCTGACTTCTGTGCTTTACATAGAATTACAGATGCATGGAAAGTGTTCCACATCGTTGAAACCAGCTCGTCGAGCTCTTTCCAATACTATTTTCGAAACGTGGAGATATCTGCATTTGAGCATCGGGTGCTACCAAAGTACCTGAGGAGATCAATTAACGAGCGCCGCTTGCCCTAACTGTTACCAGGGGGATCGGTTCCATTGGGAGCACTTGACAGTAGCACATTATGATAGTACTGTTTTGTAACGAAGTTGTTTGAGGAACCTATAGCTCTTATCGAACGGTTGCCCCCCCCTCACTTTGATACTGAATTGAACTTTGATACTAAACACGTTAATTCAATGTTCGTAAACTACTAAAAGACCTCTAGAATGGTTTTGTGAGCTGTTCCCTCAATAACCGGGTGGTACAGCTTTCTGTTGTTCTTTCTCTAAAGGCATTGAGTAGAATTATTTTGACAGAATAAATTTTCTAATTCCCGCAGGTAAAGATCCCAATCTGCAGTTGTTATTTCAACCTGAAAGACTGTTCCATGATGAAAAATGTCAAAAGTGGCTACGGCATCCAACGAGAGTAAGGGAAAGCCAGCTTGGAAGTGACTGACACTGTTGGGAAAACACAAGATTTTCGATTTTTTCGATTTTCGATTTTATTTTTCAACAGTGTTGTGGGATCATAATGTGCTAATGGGAAGTGCTCCCAGTGGGACTTTATCCCTCCGATTACAATTATGGCAAGCGGCGCTCATTAACTGATCTCCTCAGGCACTTTGGTAGAGCCCGATGCTCAAATGCAGATATCTCCAACAATTCGAAAATGTCATTGGAAAAGAGCTCGACGAGCTGGTTTCAACGATGTGGAACATTTTCCATGCATCTGCAAGTCTATATAGAGCACAGAAGTCAGATAGAGACCGATTGCCCACCCCAGCCTCCAAAAAAATGAGTTGATGAAAAAGTGTCTTCGTCGATAGGACATGGTCTTTACATCGTTGGATAGCATTTTCTCACAGAATCCGACCGTATAGGTTCAATAGGCTCCAGTTAATTCGGCCATTTCCCATCTATAACACGGAAAACGTAGCGGTGCCACGATTTGTTAAATCGTAGCAAACAGAGAATTCGCCGCGAAGCAGTAAGCTTCCGATTTATGATACTACAGTAAGTGCTCTGCAGCGATCTTTCTTGCCTTTTTGCCTAATTGACCTACCACGATGATGTGCCCATTCGAAAATGGGAGAAATGTAATTTTTGTATCAGCCTGGGTAAACAATGAAGTTTATGACATTATTGCGAGAGCATTGCTAGCCTATAATGGAAGGAGAGAAATGTGAAACCTGACCCAAAACGTTTACTGTGGTATCTCAGCAAGCATACATCCCTACCATTTGCCATACCGATCAACGATTGGGGCGTATTACTGCGTAATCTAAATGTTACGTTGAAGAGTGAAGCCGTTTTATGTGGTCCATGATCTCAGATACCTTTTTCAAATTGAAATTACATTTAAACCACCCAAAAACGCTCGAAAGCGGGCCGCTACTTCCTGTTGATGCGAACGCAAATGGTTTTTTTGCCATGGTTTCAGATGACAATTGTTGCACTTGCTTCACAGCGCTGTTCTCTGTTTCGTCGTTGGAAATTACGTGTCGTTGGTCTTGTTTTC